GAGAGAGAGAGAGAGAGAGAGAGAGAGAGAGAGAGAGAGAGAGACCTTTTGAACCAGGTCTGGGACAATGGTAGAAAGAATTTAAATCTTTGAAGGTAAAGAGAAGAATAATATTTCAGGAATCAATAACATGAACAGACATGGCAGTAGGAAAGCATAAGGTATATATAGAAAAGCAGAGTAATTTGGCTAGAGTGATGAACTCCAGAAAGAAGTGGAAAGTAGATTGGAAAGGTAAGTTGGGGCACAAACAAAAAGGACAGTAGGGACTTGGATTTAATTCTTTAGGAATGTGTAAACTGAATTGGAAGTGAGAGAGACTGAAATCAGGGATATCAATTAGGGACAATGAAAATGAAAAGGAAGGAAAAGATAGGAGAGGTTTCCTTGGTTATAAAATGGGTAAGATTTAGCTTTGATTTGGCTATGGGCTCAGGGGATTATTGATCAACCATTGATAATATTAAATAGCTTTTAAGTACATTCTATTTGCTAGGCAATATGAAAGGTGCTTTTTGGGTAGTATCTTACTTAATTTTATAACAATTCTGTGAAACAGTTACCAACATTATTTAGGTATTATGGATTAGGAAACAAATTGAGAGGGTTAAATAATTTCACAACTAACAATTCAAATTTAGTTGAAATTCAAATTAAGACACTACCTTAATTTGAAACCATGTTAGTCTCCGGTGACTAGCAGTTTACCTTTTTTTTTTGTTTGTTTGTTATTGGGAGTTGAATCAAGGGGTTTTTGTTTTGTTTTGTTTTTTTTTACCACTGAGCTACTTCCCCATACTTAATTTTTTAAATTGACACAAGGTTTCATCAGGGCTTCCCTAAGTTGCTGAGCCTGGCCTGGAACTTGTGATCCTCCTGCCTCAGCCTCCTGAGATGCTGGGATCACAGGCATGAGCCCTGCTAACAATATACCTTTTTATAATTTCTAAAGAGTATTACAGTTCTATAGCAGTTATCACGCTTTTCAGTTCTCCAGAGGACACTCTGTAGGGGAATACCTGAAGTTGGGGTGCTGTATTTTCTTGTGATACGCCCCTCTCCTCTGCTAGATTGTTCTCTCTTTTGAGTCAGGGACATGACTTATTCAACTTTATATTTCTAGTACTTATTACATTCCCAAGTATATGATATTCACTCATTCAATATACAACATATAATATATAATATTTTAACTATATTTAGTATTTTATATATATATATATCTCTTCCACTGAGCTACATCTTCAGACAGGGTCTCACTAAGTTGCTCAGGCTGGCCTAAAATTTGTGACCCTCTTCCTTAAGTCTCCTGAGTAGCTGGAAGCAACAAATCTTCTCTAAGCCCCTGCTGTGTCTTGGGGATAGAGCAATGAACAAGTGATAAATTCACTGCCCTGATATCATGTGTGTAGATATATGTATACACACACATATATACTCTTACACATATAAATTGTATCAAGTAATAGTAAGTGCTATGAAGAAAAATAAAGCAGGGTAGAATAGAGAATGAAGGGAGAGGAAGGATGGGTATGCTATTTTAGGTAAGTTGGTCAAGGAAGGTCTCCCTCAGGAGATGGTACATTACTTAGTAGATATCCCAATGAAATGAGGAAAGGAGCTTTGTGAGTAGTAGGGAAAGGCGTTCCAGGTGGACGACAAGGGTAAAGGCTTCAGTATGTTCAAAGAATAGCAAGGAAGCTAGTATGGCTGGACTACAGATAGAGAGGAGAGTGAAATAGGAAATTGGCCAGAGAGGTAGCCAGGGATCAGATCATAGGGTCTTGAAGCTTAAAACTTATATTCAATTGATTTGAATTAATGAGGTTTTTCTACTATTTCAGAACTCTTCTTGCCTCTTTTCCCTTGTACTATGTGGTACCTATCATATCCCAAGTACCCTAGGGATACTTTCGACTCAAAGTCGAAATTCTTCCCTTGGGATTATTTGGTGAGGGACTGGGAATTTAAATTAATTGGATGACATTGGGTATGCCCAGAAAGGCTGGTGCCTATGTTTCAAACCTCCCAGACATGGGCAGCATAATTCATGAAAAATGTAAGTATGCAGACACATACCCATCAGCCCTGCAAGGACCTGTACCCATTGAAAATTTGAGAGAATAGCTGTTTTTTCCAAACTGTTCAACCACACTTGTGTGGGTTTGGAATTGTTGAGCGCATTGTCCTGACATAGGGCAGCCTACTGCGTGGGTTGTTACAGGTACAGCTAAGGTTGGCTGCCTGGTACAAACAGTTGTTATCAGTATGTGTGGGGTACAGAGGAAGAATACTTGACTGCTAATTGTGGAATGAAGGGCAGGTGTTGCTGAGGCAGATATGAGGGGGGAAAAAAACCCCAGTAGCCTCAAATAAATTAGAAATCAGACAGCATTTCTAATTTATTGTTCTATTTTGTTTACTGATAAATAGTTGAACTTTTAAATGTTCATGAAATTCTGTAGGTTCTTTCAAAGTTATTTTCATATTATTTCTCCCTTTTTATTTCATGGCCTTCTTAAGTCTTCATATTGTCAATATTTGTACTCCAGAAGCATATTTGGTGTGTCTGATTGTAGTCTCAGCCCGTTCTGATTCATTCTGGTGATGCTATTATCAGCATGTCTAAAATCTTCTCTTCATGGTACTCCTCACTTCCTCAAGAACCTTGGTGGCTCTCTGTTATCTACTTCTTAGATCTTGACATTCCATCTTGTTTTCATTCTCTGTGGTCTCAACCCAAATCAGCCATATTTTCTACTCCTCTTCACTCTATGCTACAAGCAGTCTATTTTTCTTAACATCCTGAATTTTTAAAAAAATATATTTTTAGTTGTAGTTGGTCACAATGTCTTTATTTTATTCATTTATTTATTTTATGTAGTGCTGAGGATTGAACCCAGCTCCACGCTCGCTCTAGGCGAGCACTCTACTCTGAGCCACAGCCCCTGAGTTTTTTTCCTCCAAGTTTTTGCTCATTTCATTCCTCCTTTCTTTAATATCTTTGTTCTCCCTGTGTTGCTGACCATTTAATGATATAAATCCTTTGAGTTGTACTTAAATCCTGCTCCTTATAACTAAGCCTCCCTTTGCTTTTCAAAGATAAAGTGAGGTCAGAAAGATCATCGGCATATCTGTAAATGAGCCCCTCTTTCTTTATACTGTTAATTTTTTTAAAGTATTTATTTTTTAGTTGTAGTTGGACACAATGCCTTTATTTTATTTACTTATTTTTATGTGGTGCTGAGGATCGAACCCAGAGCCTCCCCCGTGCCAGGTGAGTGCTCTACTGCTGAGCTATAACCCCAGCCTTATACTGTTAATTTTTTTTTGAGTCCCCCCTCCCCACTATAGTAGTTAGGTAAGCCCAGGGTCATACTGCCTTGGACTTGGGTTGGTCATATGCTTCTTACTAGCTGTATAAACACGTTGATTCACTTCTTTTATTCAGGTTTCTCATCTATAAACTGGAGTTGATAATACCTACTTCATACAGTTTTTGAGGACC